GTTCAGCAGGTGGCCTGGCCGGGTGAGGGCAGCGGCCACGTGGAGGCCCCCACGGTGGGCAGGACCCCACCTCACCAGGCTCGGCGCCCCAAGACCCTTCCTGCCTTGCGTCTGCCCCCCGTCCCCTCTTCATTTTCCTGCCCAGCGCCAGCAGTCCAGGCAGCATCACATGCCCGGCCCCCACTGCAGGGTCAGCTGGAGGCCTGTACCCGGCCGGGCTCTACCGCAGGCCGGCCTCCCTGCTCAGGCTCACACACGGCCACCCGTCCAGCACTCCTCACCCTGCGGCCCGCACTCAAGCCATCCCGGCCAGACACAGGGCAGGGGCACGGTCTCCCTCCTCTGTGTCCCCAGCACGTGGCGATCCTGGGTCACTCCTGGGAGGGCCACCTGCTCCCGGCAGCTGTCGTCGTTGAGGAATCACAGCTGCTCCAGGGTGGGCCCACGCCACACACCTGGCTGAGCAGCAAGGCCTGCAGGTGAAGGCCCCAGGGCCCATCCCCCGGGCACCCACCCGTCGCTCGGGCACCCAGGCAGGGCCTGCAGGTTGGAAAGCCTCCGGGCTGCTCTGATGGCCACCTGGGGTTGGGTTTTCCTTGCTGAGGATGGCGGCTCTCATTAGCAGCCTCAGTGACCACTGTTGGGGAGAGTGCGGCTTGTAAAACCTCCCAGGGCTCAGACACCCAGAGGGCAGGGCTGGGCTGCAAGCTCTCGTCCAGCAGGCTCAGGGCAGGGGCTGAGTGGCAGAGCCTGTTGGGGAGGTCCCGAGGCCACTCCAAGAGGGTCAGGGGCAGCCCCTTGGGCTGGCCGGTGTCCCATCCCCTCTGCACTGGGACACCCCCTGGGGTCACAGGGAAATTCAGCAGAGGCGCCTAAGTCTGGGGGAGGGACCTGGAAGCCCTTCAGGAGGGGGAGGTTGGCAAGGAAGGGTGCCCAAGCCCCAGACCTGGCACAGTGTGAGCATGGATTAGCCCCTAGTTACCTCTGCACCAAGCTCTCGTGGGGGAAAGGTCAGGGCTGCCCAGTCCCTGAAGGGCCAGCACCCCCCAAACCACAGGGCGAGTCCCACGGGAGAAGGCAGGATGGTCGGTTCCGGCCCCGAGGATGGGTCGGGGACCCACCTGTTGCTCTAGCCCACCCGGCCTGGGTCTGGAATCACCCGCTCGGGAGTCAGCCCCAGTCCCCGCCAGGGGACCCCCAGGCCACCCCTCCCCCTGTCCCCTCGGGGCTCAGCCGTTCCTAGGGAGGCACCTGCCAGCATGCACAGGAGGAGGGTGGCACGCGGTGCCTTCGGCCAGGCGTCGGCCAGTTCCAGTTCAAAGGAGGGAGTTTTCCTGAATCAGCCCAGCCCTGGGCGAGGCTGCAGCACAGCTCAGGGCAGAGTCAGAAGGATGGCCGCTCGGGGGGTTCGGGCAGCATTTCCCAGCTGGCATGTTTGGGGAACGCTGGCAGTGGGTGGGGGCAGATCAGCAGAGAGCCGCCAGAATCTTCCAAACCCGGAATTACCCAGGGGCTCAGGGAGCACAGGAAAAACAACCCGGATGATATTTTAAAACATAATTACCAGGCCCGCCCCCTCCCCCAAGTCTGCTGTGATTACACTCTCAGACGCAGACTCTGGAGCAGGGCGCCAACGCTGGCGCCGTGGCATTTACATAAAGAGCGCTCACCGGCAGAAATAATCCCCATCTACAACTCCTCGGCCACGACGTTTCTCCAAACAGCAGAAGTTGTCTGCGCTCCGCACGACACCCGCCCCCCCGACACTGGCTCCCCTAGAGCCAGAGGCTGTCAGATCCAGAAGAACCAAAAGAGCCACTTCTATTTCTGCTTTGCCATATGTGCCGATACTGCCCCGGCTAAAAATACCTCAACAGAGGGGCGGCTCATCTGGAAAGGTGCTCCGAATTGCTTCATGTGCCCCCGGCCCTCCCCAGCCCCAAATTACCCACCACGGCCCGAGCTTCCAGCGGCCTCCTTCTAGGGAGGGGTGCCGAGTTACAGACAGGCTCCGGAAACCCAGGAGAGTCTGTGCACCAGGGCATAGTGACGGGGCCCCTCCAGTCTCCCTGGCGGCCTCTGGCAGGGTCACTCCAGTGCCTGATGGCAAGGGTGATGGGAGACCCCTCGGTGGGCTGTGGGCAGGGGTGTGGCAGCCTGCAGAGACCCCTCGGATCACACCCAGGTCTCCCTGAGCACGGGGGGACCCGGCGGCCTCCTGCTGCCCCAGGACCGGGGCGGCCGCCTACATCATCAACGGCCCCGGTTATAACCCTTTATAATGTTGGTTTCTCAGATTATGGGCTCCAAATATTCAGGCCCCGTGAAATTTGGAGAGAAGCGTGTGAAAACAGTTAGCTGTTTGTATCGG